GATTCTTAATTTTCCCGTGAGCAGATCGCAATGATGGTAGCAAACTTGGGGGGGACCAACTAATAGATGTATGATATATCCAGACGGGCTGGGCATAGAACTGATGGCTCGGACAGCCGAGCTCACATAGCCACCACAACACCTCTACTTATGTACAGGTTCCGAATCTAGGAAGCTTTTCTCTCTGTCGTCAGTCATCGGGTTACTTAATGTGCGATTAGCTTCGCCGCCCTTGATGCCATGATGCCATCCTATTTCTAGAGCATGGGAACACATATTCCTGTGGTCGGTGTATTATGCACCCGTGCTGCCGTGTAAGGGCCCAGTAGTGAAGAGGCATCACTAGGATGGGTGGGGTCTCGTCAACGGGGTCTATACAAGTTTCCATTCAAGGACATGATTGTCCAAGGGTCCAAAGTAGATACTACTAGTAGCATGTACTGCTATCTACGAAGGAGAGTCGGCAATGGTGAAGGATTAGGGTCTAGGTCTGCCTGGGGGAGATCCGTCCTTCAGAAATCCTTTATGACGACGACTTAGCAGAACTATCGGATCGCGAGTCGATTTTGTTGAATTGATCCACGCAACCATAATCCTGTAGCGGCGACAATTGACGAAGCTCACCTACAATGGCTAGGCAGTCTTTTGCTCAACGGACAATATAGACCTTGGACACATCTTGAAGATCGACTACCTAACTAACTCAATTGTATTGGTGGATGGACTACCTTACAAATGAGGTACATCCCAAAGGTTCTACGAAGTACATATGGCCATTATGCCGGTAGGTGATGGCGTCTTAGTTGGTAATTTGGTCATGTCGGTTGGGTAACGGGCCAGGGCTCCAGGGATCTGAGTCTTCAGCGCAAGTAGGTACAGACATATTTACATGCAGGTAACGTTCGTGGCACCAACATCACCTGCAGCCATCGCCTCAGGCTCCATATCACATCCGGCCGGGCCTCACGGAAGCCGTTCTTTTAATATCAGTCTAAGACATTTCATTACCTAGCTAATAACGCCTACACCTAAATTGGGTATCTAGGCAGGAAGATTTATTAGAAAAAAGCCACGATGCGAATAACAACATTGTTAGTGGTTGTTCAGATGCAGCATCATGCGTTGTAAACCGCCAAACTATCTTCAAGATCCTATCCCATCTGTAGACCGAGCCGCCAGGACACAAGCAACCTGTACTGCAGGTCTCCCGCTCTGATCAGCGTTACCACGGACGTCCGCCGATGCGTCGCAACAAGAAGAAGCGATTGAACCATCCAATAGGGCAGGTAACAACATTGTTGTCTAGCTGACTCGGCCTTATCCCCTTTCGCGAACTACCAGATTCTTCAGAGATCATCCCGGATCAGACTTCTCGGCTCTTTTTGTCTTTGGTCTATCTGCTGCGCGAACCTGATTGATCAATCTCGCTCATACATCTCCCTCATTATGGGAGATCAAAATGGCAGAAACGGTCAGGTGGGAAACCAAAGAGGGAGACGGAGAAAGCGATGCACCCAACCAGATCCCAAAGTTACAACTCGCCTCAGACAGGTTGTAACGCTGCTGGCTGTTGTCGTTGCGTGATTGGCTCGTCGTAGGCTTCGGCCGCTTGGCCACCACCAAGATTCTGCAAGGCATACGAAGTAGCCATTCAACAGTTAATCGCAAGCATCGTGTATTCGTTAGCGTACGACCCTTTCGCAAATAAGAACGAGAGTTGTCGATCGTCTATCATTGATGAAGCCACACTGAACCCTATAATATTTTGCTCTCCCCCCTTCGATTTGCTGCGAATTTTTCATTCAAGCTGTTATTGTGTGCGAAGAAACGAATTCGCCCCCCTTCTTGAGGGTGTGCGTCGTCACTAATCGCTTAATGGAGGTATCATGTCGTCCATGTACTGTTCGATGCATTCGAATCCTTTTCCCCGGGTTTATTGCCAGACTGAGATACCTAACATTGATCTAGGTCTAAAATAATTCATCCTGAGCTCTAAGGAGATTTCTTAGGCTGCTATGCCAGATTGAGACAAACCCCTGCGACTTACAGCATCTCGACCCCATGAAACGATCTTGCTCACAGTCAGTTGTTTCTTCGTCTCCTCGAAACGTTTCCGATTGCAGATCGTATCAAAACACTCTTGAGATCTAAATTGCTTCAGGAGACGTACATAATCTACCTATGGATACCTTCATATACCCTTACGTGATAGCGTGATGTTTGACAGCAAACGTTTCTTCTGCCGAGAGTCGGTTTTTGGCGACAATTCCTCGAGCAAATACAGTAAAATAGCCTGAATCTCGCTTTAGTTCTCATTTGCACGTGCCTCGAGGCTATCTTGCCGCAAATCATATTCCATTTGAGCGAGAGACATAATCGGAACCTGCTTTCGATGGTCGATGGTTCCGCCACGGGTTCCTTCTGTGACGACTATCCCATCCATATCAGAGTCTTGAATTTCTAAGAATATTTCGAGATAAACGTACGGATTACATATCCGAAAGAGAATGTAGTGTAGATACGAGTAAGTAACTGTGTACCTTCTCGAACGGCGCGATCCTTTTTGACAGTTTTATGGCGTCACCTTAGGAAGGACTTCTAAGCCACATTTGTCTTAGCGCCTATATCCACAACCTTAATGGATTTCTAAAAATGTATCCCACGCACTCTGACGTACTTTGTACACTTTCATGATCTTTCATCACCCCAGCTTCATTTTCATCACAGCATGCTGAAGGATTCTCAGCTACCAGCCCAATGTTGGCATCTTGCTTGAACAGTGTTGTTGCCTGAAGCTTCACAGATGACTGTCGACATAAGATCATCAAGATGGATGGCGTAGATCTTGCAGATCTATCATCATCTCACCTGTCGCTTCACAAAGACTTGCCAGCATCTAATAAGACAAATCAGCCGCCCCCAGCCACCTAATCTAAATGACACCAGCAGTTTGCCGTGACTTCAACTCTCCAAAAGTTCTCTCAACGCTCTGCCTGGACTTTTCTCCAGTACCGAACGCGTGCATCGGAAGGTTCTGTCACAGTTTACTAGATCCTACGCCACCTGTGATCACATTGGCAACGATTCAACTGGGACGCGAACTGCGAGCATCGGCCGATAATACCTTCCCGGGGGTAGCAACGTGGCTCCCTTGACCTAATCTGTGTACTGATCTTTGGCAGATCTATGCTTCCTGACATAGGCTAGCTCAACTGTGCCAGCTTCCATCAGTCGAGGAGCATGTGCTACTGATGTAGTTCAGGGGCACATGTTTTCCTTACCGCAATCTGTTCTCAAGGTTGAATATCGGATGCTACATAAGGGTACTATTCATTTTCCCATCTCAATCGCAATCTATGAGAAGCTTACTACAAGATGTCGCCAGCAAGGCCGCATCTGATTGGGATTGCCCGTAATCGTCCCGAGGGTCACGTCTGCGTCCAGATCTGGATGCGCTCTCACCTGAAGGCTATCGTCTTATCACAAGGGCAGCTCTCAGCCGCAGCTATGTACCTGTGAGACCCTGAATTTGAAACGGAAGCTGAAGCTGATTGGCTAGTAAGCGCCCCTGTGTTTCTACATGTCGTAGTTAGGATTCACCACGACACAACCACGGGAACAGATGTGTTATCCCCGCGGAGGTATGTTGCCTTGGGACTCATGCTTGTTGCAGCAAGTAGGATAGCTACTAAAAGTCAAGATGGACTTTTAAAGTCGTCCATGTATTAGCGGTGGACGCAAGGGAGGCACATTTCCTAGGGATACCTGATTCGAGACCGAGGCTTGTTCTAAGAATAAGTCACGCTTCTAGTTTAGGGCTGAGCATTCTAGGGAGCTGATTAACCACCCTCAACGACAAACATTCTTCTTACCAAGAGCCTTGGATACTTGGACTTTTATTAGCTCGTTATCATCTGTTGTTCTAGTCTTCCGATCACGCAAAGCTAAAGATCTAACCATCATCAGACGAAGCCGAGTCCATCGGCAGAATCTCATCTAGCTCGCCATAGCTCGAGTCCGTCGCCTCTGGCATGTGTCCCAGAATAGAATCACTACCCTACTTCTCGGGACCTCACTACTACTCTATACACCGTCCAGGGCTGTGGAATCATGGATAGCCACGTGCAGCTTGCTGTCGCAAGCAACTTCTTTCTTTGCTTCAAAGTTCTCAGTGCATTCAGCAACAACACACCGCCTCATCCATCCTTCCGACATCCTGTTTGCGGAGGTCTAGGCCACGAGTCTAGCACACGCGCAAATGTTTCCCCCAGGTGAGAATGCGGCACTCTCTTTATTTTTGAAACGACGCCTGCTAGTCTGTTCGCTCTAGAAAAAATCCTTCTCACTCGCCAACCAAAGTGACCTTCCGCAAAACGACTATTCCCAATCCTATAGGTGGGAGAGGGGAAACTCGCTTGCCTTTTTGATAAGCTAAACAATACCCTTCAGGAGCCAATGGCACTCCCTTCATAGTTTGATCCAGACTGTTGTCGCGGCTGAGTCCCAGTAATGCAATCTTGAGTGTTCAAGTAGGTACATTATAGCGACCTGCTGAGTTGGTAGCGAAGTCGCACGACACACATTTGAGGCAGTTGAAATACTATGCATCGTCAATACAAGACTTACCCTCGAAGCAAGTGTTCATAGTCTGTAGCGGGTATGCGCTCCGCAAGGATCAGACGTACCTACAAAACAGCCCGGTTCGGCTCTGAAGGAGCTGTAAACGACCCTTTGAGCCTCCTGTAAAGCCTATTCATTTACTGCGTACTTTCGCCTGCCAAAGAGAGAAGCTCACGAGTCGCGACGACTACCTGTAGTAGTTCATTGGGTAGCGGCGCAGTATAGACCATCCAACGATGACTAGCCTACATCTAGCCATCTCAGCTCATTCGCATCGATGATTTGGACAAATCGGAGCATTCCATAGCGCTCTAAGTAGATGCGCATATATACTAACTCACATCGGGATTACATCGGTTCCCCGTGACCAGCGATTTCGGGGGCGTGTAACTCAGTGGTAGAGTGCTCGCTTTGCACCGCCTACGGCGTGGAAATCTGCGAGAAGCCCAGGGTTCGACTCCCTGCTCGTCCAATTTTTTCTTGCTGCCGTGTCATGCCGGACCGCACTCCCTATCTACTACCTACTACCGATTGAAGTGAATGGCGGCTGAGGCGGCTTCGCTCCCCGTACCCATGGGAATCGGTTTCTATTTTTGGTCTTGCGCGTTGCTTGCTATGTTGTTATAGCTACCTACCTACCAACCTAGCTTCTCCGTGCCGTCGATCTAGTGCGGCGTTGGTGGTGGCGGACAGTTGTGTGTGGCACCCCGCTTCTGCGTAGGTAGGTCGACGCAAGGCCAGAACTTGGTCAAAATATTTGTGTGTGTGGACGGTAATGGAAAGTCGGTCTACGAAGTACTTGATCATCAGTGATGCTAGATCTTCTTCCTTCCTTCCTTCCTGCCGTTTCTCCGGTCGACTAGAGAGGAGTCGTGCTTGGGTTGGGCTCTGGTGCAAGGGCTGGGCTTCCTCCGGCGAGAGGGACGGGGCTAGGAGAGATCCCGCTGCGGCGCGTTGACTTGGCTTTCTATTTTTGACATCTTTGAAGTTTTTTTTTTTTTTTTTTTAAGAGACTGCTGGTTGGTCGGTTGGTAGGTAGGCAGGTATAGGTTCACGTGGAAGCTCGGATGCGGGCTGTCGCCGGTATCCGCTCGATGGGTTTTCTTGTGGATGTCGTCGCTGGTTGTCTGCGTCTCTCCGCGTGGATGGCTTGACCGGGTGCTGCTTGAAATTGGTACCTAGTTGCGCGAAGCCTTGGAGAATTGATAGTGTAGGTACCAGACAGAGCTTGGAGTTGAGGTGAGGGGAGAAGGCTTGACTGGGAAGTGAGGGAGTAATTGCTGTCGGAAAGGATGAACTACTGTCATTGTGATGTTTGCATACGCTCCTTGCTTCTATATTGTGGTGACGGTGTCTACTGCTTTAAATCACCAGGGTTATTTAGGAAGGGCGAGTGCTTCTTCCTTACTCTCCTTTCGTCGGAAACTGCATGCCGGCTTGGTTTATGCATGAGAATGAACGGTAAGAACTCCGTGGAAGACTGCTTGGTTACTTGGCTCCGTTGGTACTCGTGGAACGGTATCATGTTCAAATGGATATGTGTGTAGACACCATCAAGGCCAGGCAGAGGCATTGGAGTCTGGTACAAAATATCACCGATGTGTCCCCCGTAGGGGTAGCCAAGCAACTGGAAGATGCGTCGAGACGATAGTATCTCCTTTCTCCATACCATGGCGCCAGTATATCTGATGTGGCCATGCGGCCTCGGAACAATTCTTCCCTTGCCTCGTGAGCTACGAGAGATACCCGGTGTTGAATTGCGAGGTATGTCATGTGCGTCCCCCTTCTATTGCCTTCGGGGACTGACAGAGGTGTAGGCGATGCGCTTCTGTATGTCTCAATAAAAAGGCTTCCAGTGTCTGACCAGACTTGATGTCCCTAAAGATCTCCATCTTTTGAAGAGACGAGAATGTTTTGAGCTGAGGAAGAATGGGATGGTCGCGATACCTCATCGCTTATTGGCAGAGGTCGATGATAACAGTCTGACTCCAGGAGCAAGAGGCCAGCTTCCCAGTAGGGGATCCTTGACCGGAGAGAGCCTTCCTAGTCCTCGGGATACTCTAGATCAGGAATACAGATAGTCGAGCTCTGATACCAGCAAGATCGTCAGTCGGTTAGTAGGTAGGTAAACGCCTTCTCATCACGATAGAACAGCCTCTAACCTCAACCCTCGCTCTGTGCGCCAGACCTTTCAACCCCTGACCGTCCTACTAACGATCTCAATGCTAAGTTACACTCCCCTCTGGACTTCAGACCTCGGGGTATCTTAACAGATATCCAGTTACCTATGTATGTTCGGTTCCGCCCAGTATTGTACCGAACCTGGTCGGCCACTACTCACTTGAACATACCTTATATACCAGAGCAACAGTATAGATGCCAATAAAAGACCAAAGGCCTGGTTCCGTTCTGCGATCGCTCTCCTTTCTATTCCCCAGACCCTAGAGACTATCTCCCGCAACATCGTTACCTGGAGCGAAGGACGCCGAGTGTTCGAAACCTCAAACGGCCAATTCAACTATTCCATCATATCAACTAGATGTTCCCAACTTCGAAGATACCGAGTGGTCTTGATCTTCAACTTAGTCTTCCTAGCTGACTTCAACTTCATTACGCTGACTGACCCTACCCTGAGCCTTCCCTGGCTCCATGTCATCATCAATTACGAACCAGATGGTACGTCGGTTGATTCTGACAACCCATGCTACCTTATGGTAGGACAGGTTCCTGGATTGTTGTACATCCCATGGATATTTCTTTACACCGACCCCTATAGATATCTCGGCTTCTTCGATTATCTTATCCATTGCCCCAGCGCAGCGTCGCCTCAAGTTTACCTAGATACCTATCAAGGTCGGGTACCTCGTATATCCAGCGCGACGACAGCCGTCCGATGCCTGACCGCAAAATAGGGATAGGTTCGACGAAACGACTCGGCGCCTATCAAGCAGATTCAGGAGCTAAGTCTCCAATTCCTCCAAGTCTCGGCATGGCACTTCACCTTCTTTCGCAGGAGGCGTATTTCATCAAGGTACACGATGATATACTAAAAGAGTTACAAGCTGAGTGTATCTATATGCCCGAAATTGAATAAAACGGCGAGCACAGATGGGTTGAAACTACGTGATCAAGACCATATCAGTCCCAATCCCGACCACACACCTCAAGACAATACCAAACACCCGTTCGTACGTTTCAAGTGCAAGGTATGCAGGTAAGATAATTAGACATTGATATTAGCAAAAGTTCTAATGTGTAGAAGTAGGTAGTATTCTAGCAGCACGCTCGTGTATATATACCCCAAAACAACCCCAATTTTATACACAACCAACTACATACACGCTCTACCAATAGAGCCAGTCGCATCTCAGAATACCTATTCTAGTTTTCTAGATCAGCTCGATGGCAAGCTCGACCGGTTGCTCGAGGATGATACCAGGGCCAGCGACGACGGTCTCCTTGGTCGGGGCGCCGGCGGTGTCGGCAATAACAGCAGCAATGACGCCCTTGGTCTCGAACTTTTCGGGAATCGTGACGCGGATCTCCTGCTCGGGCCAGCAGGAGGTGTTGAGAGGCACGCTGATGTTGTGGATGCCGTGGAAGAAAACGGCGTAGTACTGCGTGTCCTTGTCGAAGGACGGCTGGTTGGTCGGGTCGGTGAAGTTGAGCCCGATGTTGGACCCGGGCGTCAGCGACTTGGTGTCGCTGGCCGCGCTCAGGGCCGGTAGCCCCTGGCGTGGATTCGGGTACACTGGGTTCACCTTGGGGCAGCTGCCCGGCACGATGAAGCCGTTGGTCGTGTCGAGGATCTGGTTGGCGTAGGGGAACACGGTGTCGGACGGGCCTGCGAACGGGTTCGCCTTCCAGATCTCGATCAAGCTCCACGTCTCGTGGCGCGCCTCGGTCTCGGCGATGGCGGTCAGAGCGGCGTGCGACGACGGAAGCTTAGCCGACTGCACCAGCCCGGTCAAGAAAGCCATGCTGGAGACCTCGAGGACGGTGACGAGGGCCAGAAACGAGATGGGGTCGTAGAAGGGATACTGGTGGTCGCACGCGCCGGGCTTGACAGACGTGGGCGAGATCAGGTTCTGGAAGATGCGCAGGTGGCCGGCCTCGTTATTCCGGATCTCTTGGATGCGCTGGTATGTGGTGTTGGGCATGCCTATCTTGACGAAGGACGACGCGTTGAACGACTCGACGGCTTTTTGGTAGAAGTCGAAGATGATCCATTCAGCCGACAACAGGTTCTGCCAGACCTCATCGTCCTCTCCGGGCGGTCCAACCTTGGTTGGTAGGACAGCATCTCTCAAGTTTCCGGGGAAAGGGGCTTCAACGCCATAGTAGGTGCTGAAGATAGGGTCTTCTCCCGGAACCGGGCCGAAGTTCGGGTCGGCGAGCTTCTGTGTATCCGCGAACGACCCAATCTTTCCGAGAATGGGCTTCGCGGCAACGACAGAGACCAGAGGGCTCAGCAGACAGACTTGGAAGAGAGATCGGAATGCCATTTTGGGAGACTGCTTGAAGCACTTGAGAGTTGAAAGGACGACTTGGGGGTTTATTTTTGGGATCGTCCTCCCCGACAGACGGCCAACTTATATTATGCTCCCCATGTCACACCAAGCACACCAAGGGCTTTCCGATAGCGCGTTCTCGGAAACGCCACAAGCTCTCTTAGCTGCGTTACCTATCAATTGTTGTGTTATTAATCTAAAAATCTCGCTTATGATATCATGATGAGAATGACAAGTTAGACCTGCAGCAGCCACGAACATAACAAAATAACAAAACTTGGTTCAGCATCAGCTCAAAGAAGAGGGCGGGCCAATGGCGAGATGGGTGTCTCAGACTAGCGGCCTGCGCATTTCGATCGACAGGTCCATCTGCCGCATTGGCCCGCCCTAAAATTGCGGAAGAACCAGATAGTCGGCGGTATTGTGACGAGCCGGCAGCTCGGGAGGGTGAGGTCAGGGAGAATTACCCACTAGTTCCAAGCCTCCAACCTCTTCATCGCAGACCAAGAAGCTAGTGTGGGGAGCTGAAAGGCAGACGCATCGTCACGTCCTCGAACAGGAAAGCGAAGTGCATGGGACTATGTACCTAACCCAACAACGTCCAATATTTGGGTCGCAAGGAGCTAACACGAGCCTTGTATCCGTACGGTAGGCAGTGAGGTACTTTGTAGGTGTAGAAGTAAGAAAGAACCAGCCTAGGCATCAAGGGATTAGGGTCCTATTTGGATTAGTATTTGGATATGACACACTGAGAGAGAGTCTGAGACAAGAGTGGTGGTACTACATGGTATGTCTGTACTGTAGGTATTGTGCAACTGAGGCCCGGGAAGATCGGCCATGAAGAGGTTGTCAGCAAACGAGGCGAGTTACCTCGAGCGTTCCAGGTCGATGGGAACTTTCGCGGTCACAACACTTGTACGTACATACCGTTATTTGCGTGCATTGTCCCGGGAATCTGACC